GATTTACGTTTTAAACCCGCCCCAGCCCCCCCCCCCCCCCCCCCCCCCCCCCCCCACTGTGATCAGCCTCAGTGCTAATCAGTAACACAATACAGCGATAGCATGTTAGCATTTCCTTCTTTTGTCATTATTGCTTCTATTTATATATTTATATTTTTGGTCTACGGGTGTGGACAGCTATGCTAGTTTCTTATGCTAACGGCGTACTGTGTTGCGTTAACTGTCACGTGGTTCTGTTTCCTTTAAACCAAATAACCAGGATCTTTTATTTATCCATGTGAAATGGATAAAACTGTGGGTGTATCTGGGCTATGACCTTTGACCCTAGCTGTGAATCTGCCCCCACCGCCACCTCACCCTCCCTGATGATGAAAATGTCCGCCACTGTGTCATTCGTCAGACTGTGACGATGAGCTGCTTCGGCCCCGCCCCGTCAGACTGGTTCACAGGCGGCAGGGCGGACATCTTGTTTGTTCTTTACAGTGAAATGAGACAGTTTAGGTGTGGACCAATAGAGAACTGGCGGAGGGGTCAGGTGACTCAGGTGTGTTGGTTTACATTAGGGGGAGGGGCCGAGCGGAGCTTGGTTTGAATTTACAAACTGGACCTTTAAAAGACAAAAACATGAGCTCACTCTGTGACAATGTTGGTGTTGTTGGAGATAAAACTCATTTGGACGCACACACGCACACACACACGCACACACACACACACACTTGTGGCCTTGTCACCAGGAGTCTGGTATTTCCAAAACAGTTTGACTGCATTCCTGAACACTGTTCCTCAGGAAGGTGGAGGCTAAGGTGGGGGAGGAGGAGGAGACCAGCGGGAAATTTAGATATTTTAAATGTCCTTTCTAGGTCTATGGTCAGAATTCATCGTTAGATCATTTGTCGGGGTGGATTAGACAAGCGCGGCGGTCGTGTGACGTTAGACAAAAAGATAACAGTGAAAATAAGGTGAAAATCTGAAAAATCTAAAAACCAACATCTCAGTCTGAACAGTTTATAAAACCACCATGTTGTCAAAACAAACGGACACACACACACACACACACACACACACCTCATCCTCTGGCAGATTTTTTTTTCCTGAGTGTCAGTGAAGGCATCGTGGGAGGGTGAGGTCTGTGGAATGTCTCCGTCGTGTCAGGGCTCGTCCCCTTCATCTGAAACCACTGTTCCCACTTACACTGATCTGAACTCAGAAACCACAGGGTCACGTGACCTGGGACCACAGTCACGTGACCTGGGACCACAGCACGTGACCTGGGACCACAGCGTCACGTGACCTGGGACCACAGCGTCACCTGGACCTGAAGCTGGTTTAAAATGTGCTGTTTAACCACCAGATTGAGGCGTGACTCTGACGGAGGTTCTCGTCTCCACCAGACCTAACAAAACCAGGACAAAAACCTGGATTAAACCTGGATTAAACCTGGATTAAACCTGGATTAAACCATAACCTGGCAGTGAAAGATGGCTAAACCAGTTGTCCTCTGGATTTAAACCTTTACACCTGGTTTTGTTACTGTTGCCTACAGCAGGTCCCACGACCCCTAGTGGACCTTACGCGAACCGCAGCGTTAGCTTCGGTTCATATTCACAACACAACAGCTCATCGTCCTTTCTCAGGTCTGGAACAACCAGAACATCGATTCACACGCACTAGCTATTAGGCTAACATTAGCTACAACAGTCCTGGTACAGACACCAGAGCTAACGTTAGCTACGACAGTCCTGGTACAGACACCAGAGCTAACCTTAGCTTCAACAGTCCTGGTACATACACCAGAGCTAACGTTAGCTTCAACAGTCCTGGTACAGACACCAGAGCTAACCTTAGCTTCAACAGTCCTGGTACATACACCAGAGCTAACGTTAGCTACCACAGTCCTGGTACAGACACCAGAGCTCACGTTAGCTTCAACAGTCCTGGTACAGACACCAGATCTAACGTTAGCTTCAACAGTCCGGGTACAGACACCAGAGCTAACATTAGCTTCAACAGTCCTGGGACAGACACCAGAGCTAACATTAGCTACAACAGTCCTGGTACAGACAGCTGGTGTCAACTGTTGTTCTTTGTTTTTCAGGGTGGAGTCTCCATACTAGAGAGCCCTCTGCTGGTGAGTGTTTGTCCCTACAGTCTTCTTCTGTCTTCTAACTCCACCTCTCCAGTAAAAGAACCCAGTACTTGAGGAACAGTAAAGAACCAGGAACCGATTGTCAACAACAACAAACAGAATTAGTTTTTTTATCCTCAAGAAAGACAATCTGACAACCTGGTGTCCAGGTCACAGGGATTTGAGCCCACAACCTGTGACACCTTCAGTGTCCACGGTGAAAAACCACCCTTGAATGTAGTCTTTACACTGAGTTGACGTACTGACCCTGAACGCAGCACGGCCACCTCATGTTGTTGACAATCATCTGGTTCAAGTACTACACAGTACTACACTCTGATGATGAAGTAGTACTGCAGTAAACGCCTCTTCTCTCTCTCTCCTCCACAGAATGTGCACGGCCCACACCTTCAACATTTCCCATGATGCATCTGTGCATCAGAGGGGGAAGGCAGTCAACTGGTGCCGTGTTCATCACCCGGCCTGGAAACAACGCAGCTTTCCCATCATGCCTCTCTCTTTTCCTCTCTGTGTCCTCCACTCTGTCGTTCTCCTCCCTCACCCTGACATTGCTGAACACACACACACACACACACACACACTCTGCGGGGGGAGGAGGGGGGAGTCAGAGAAGTCTCTCTCTGCGTGTTGATACCTCACTGTTTCTGGTGCTCGTTGTTTTCTCACCTCTGCTCGTCTCCTTCACACATGACTCCTTGACTCCTTGACTCCTTGACTTCCTGTCTTGTGCTGGTAACCAAAACTGCCGGACGTCCAATCAGAGCACTTCCTGCTCTGAGGTCCCAGAATTTGACTCCCACTGTCCTGTCCACTACCTTCTGTCCTGGTGTCCACGTCCTCTCTTGGCTTCTTGTCCCGAAGTCAACGACTTTGTACTGATGTGTCCTTAATGTCCTGAAAGACATCATTTCCTGATGTTATCGACTTCCTGTTCTGTTGTTACTGACTTCCTGTTCTGTTGTGACTGACTTCCTGTTCTGTTATCAACTTCCTGTTCTGTTGTTACTGACTTCCTGTTCTGTTATCGACTTCCTGTTCTGATGTTGCTGACTTTAAAACGGTTCCAGTGACGTCAAGCTGTAAGAGAATCAATATTGATTAATCCGTTTATCAATAACGATGATTTAGTTTTTAACACATTTTCTGGCGTTTTATTAAACCAAAGTTAACAGAATAAAAGTGATTTGTTCCTAAAATATTAGTACCTGGTACCGGTGCTGACACGTGGATCCATAACTTGAACAGTGAATATATGAAAATACTTTTACTACAGTCAGAGTACTCCCGTTTTGTATTTCCTCGATTATTGGACATGTTTTTCATAAAGTGAGTGATGACATCATCATCACGGCTGTGTGACATCATCAGATGTCTGACCCTGACGACATTAAATGTCTTTGGTTTAAAAAAGAAAATGTGGGTCAGGACAGGACTTGAACGTGTCACGACCTGGAACCAGAGGTGAAGCGTTCACAGATGTGGGCCACACCACGGGTTGGACCACGGGAGTGGAAGTCTCTGTTGAAGTTCCCGTCCTCTGTCGTCGTTTGTTTGTTTGTTTGTTTGCGTGGTTGATCTCAGACATCGTCGTGCACTGATCCCAGTCAGAAAGGTATTTATTTTCTTAAAGATCGTTTGTTTTTTCTGACATCTCGAACTGCGGACGTTTGTTTGTTTGTTTGTTTGTCTGTTTGTTTTGCTCGTTAGCTTCATTAGCGTCCTGCGCATCATTTTTGTCACAGTTACTGTGAGTAAAACTTCAACGTCGTTGAATCAGAAACGACCGGAGCTGGAGTTCAGAGCGAGACGCTGCAGAGTTTCCGTCACTTCTGAAGGTCAGTGACAGGAGACTCTGGACCACGCGGTGGGTCCCAGAGTCCAGACCGCGGGTCTGCAGCTGGACTTCAGGTCTGGTCGTCACTGGTCGACCGCCGTCTGAAGATGATTGTTTTCAACTTTGTCTTTGGTTTTTGTTGTTTACAGAAAAATGAACTGTAATCGCATTAAAGAAATGTGAACGCGGGCCGATGGTGGAGTGTTTTTGTACTGAGGCTCCATGAGCAATCAGAGTCAGAGCTTCTCTCAGACAGCCAATCACAGGACACTGAGTGTAGATGAGACTGACAGCCGCGGGGCGTTTCTGACGCTCCTCACCTGCCATGCCCACACACACACACACACACACAGAGAGGTGAATGTGTGCCCAGAAGTCGTGCCGG